TGTCTGGACTCTGTTTTCTCCTTCTAAGAAAAAATAAATCCCTTAAACTCCTTCCTCATGTATATGACTTTAACCTCCTTCTCATAGTTGTATTTCAGCTCTGATATTGTAAAACTCATTTTTAATAGAAAAACAAAGAATTACTACCCAAAACACTTCTCTTTGCAAAACAAAATGCTGCTCTCTAGTGGAAGATGATGATATGATCTAATTACCTTAGAAGAAATGTTTTGAAATTTTCATTTTATCTGATAGAGGAAACTTGAATTCATTTTCACAAGCACTGACACACAAGAGTAGTAGGGCTGGTTTGTTTTATTTCAGTCTTCCAGATTGTCCTATGAGATTTTGGAATTTATTCCTCAAGATAAAATTGCTATGCATTTATATCGATACTGTAATCACATCCAAATAACCTGCTAAGTGCTTGTGCATTAAAATATGAATACATTCTCTAATTTGATTCCTTTTAGTTCTTCTGTTCTTAGACAATATAAAAAACACAGGCAAATTTTTCTTATTTTCTTATGTTTTTCTACATTTAATTACTGACAGACTTTTCTAGGTCTGAATACATAGCTTTAGCTAACCATTTTGAAGATACAACATTCTTCAGTTACACTCACAGAAAAATTTAAGCAAATATGCAGACACTATGAAAATCTTGATCCTGTTTGCTATGGATTTCTAAGACATTCCTGTCTACAGTGATATAAAACTGAGGAATTACCTGTCACAGAGGTTCCTTCAGCTTGTACTGAAACAGTGACAAGTGCTCAGACATCAAGGAGTATTTGTCCTGAAGGAACTAAGTTTTATCCCACTTAATATTAAATATAGCATTCATTATAAAATAAAATATAAAATATAGCATTCATTTGCTTTCCTTTTTTAGATAAAGTAAAAAAAAAAGGAACAGCCCTCTATGCTGAATTTCTTGAAGTTATAGACCAAAGCAGCACAGTTCTATTTATTCCCAGCTTCCCATATTCACAACAGGAAACCTATATAGCACGTGTTTCTGTTTTCTTATCTCTCTGCAGATAAGAGACATTTGTATAGTAGTTTCCTGATAAAAAGTACTTTTTTTTTTTAAATGAAGTGCCTTTTCAAAAAAAATTGTTCTCTGCTTACTAGTTTACAAATTATCTACAATAAAAAAGAATATAGGTTAAACAGTCAGATTGCTTATTAATGTAAACATCATCTGTAAAAATTATAATTCTGTCAGGTCTATATTTCGTCTTCTGTCAAAATTATGTAGGCTACATACATTGTAGAATAACATTATATAGGTTTGCAAAAGCACTTCAGCTACCAGCAACTGAAGCTGCACGCTCTACCCAGACAGCCCAGTCCAGCTCCACAGCAGATGGCTGCAGCCCCTGGACACATCTTTCCTGAACGTTCTTAGTTGCATCTCATCATCTGTACAGCTGTCACAGAAATCTATTTCATAGCAAATACCTAATCCTCCTGCAACACTCTCAAGAAGTAGATAGAGCCTTACTGAGCTTCTCCATTTGATTTCTTCATGGTCCTGTCCCCTTTCACTTTGGCTCACGTTCTGCTCTGCTCTCATCACTGAAAAGATGCTGCCGTCACTGCAGAGCTCAGCCAATCCCTTGAACTTAACAGTGCACCTCAGCAGTTACTGCAGCCTTCTACCTACTGCCAGGCCTCCGGTCATTCCCATCCGAGCTGTCACCAGACTGCCAGGTCATTTTCTGAGTTTTGATCACAGGGACCAAGGGCGGTTTTTCACTTTAGGGCAGAGACACATACAGAAGCTCCCCTCATCTCCAATTATCAACAGAAATATCTTTAGAAGTAACTATTCGGCTATTCATGTTGTTAGAAGGAAAAAGTAGAGATGGAAGGGTTTTTTTTTGACTCACTACACAAAATCCAGAACTACCAATGCTGAAAGAACACAAATAAACAATTTATCTGCTTTGCCATTTACCTGAGATTAAGTGAGAAAACTGTTTTCACAAGTTTTAGTGCAAGTCACACAGTAAAGCAGTATTTTCAGTAAGCCTCGCTGAGAAGAAAAAAAAAGTGACCAAGGATCAGTTTATAAATCAGAGTTTCCAAGTCTGACAATTAAGGATAAATATACATTTGTTTTAAAAATATGGAGACAATTAGAAATCAGATATGGATATTCGTAACTAACCAAATGAATTTTGGTAGCTAATTCTCGCTTTCTCAAAAGCATGCCATCAGCGGTACTGGTATGAATCGGGGTTCCCAACTCAGCTCAGTTCCCACTCGCAGCTGGCCTTGCTGCCTGACTGCTGCATCACTGGCAACGCGGCTCATCCTTGACGTTCTTCAGCGATCCTACTATTCTGAGGCTGAGGTCTATCTTCCACAGGAGCTGGACAGCGTTTAAAATTTTAAGGGTATCTGGTGATCAAATTTGAGTGATAACACCTAATTGCTCCCATAACCTATCGGCTAGAGATTTTAGCATTAACTTCACAAGTGTTTTTACTGTAGTACATACACAATCCATTCTGAGACATCACAAATGAATCAGTGATGCTTCTCCATGCAAAGGCATGTTGGCTGTCTGGGGTGTTCTGTTTTAGGGCTTCTACCAGTTATCTAGTAATTTTTCAGAAATAAAAGTATTTCTTGAAAAGTAACATTTAACTTGGTATTTAATTTCAATTAGCACACTAATCAGACAATAGAGGGAAATGTGCAAAATAGTATTTATTTTTTAAAAACAAAACTTGTAAAGATACAAAAATTAATAAAAACATAAATTTTAAGAAATATCCCAAAGTTTCATTTCTTTGATCATTAAAACTGACCCTTAAAAAAAAGCTGCTTATGAGTGAAATCCAACAGCTAATTTGTTTACTGACTGTATAGAAAGCCCAAACAATAATTACTGATTTAGAGTGCTCTTGTAAACAATCTATTTTTGGCTGAAATACTTATGAAATGCATAGCCTGTTTGGAGGGCAAGGTGTGTTTATATTTACTTCAAGTAAGATAGGCTTTATATTACATATTCGTTTATGTTGTAAATATCTGAGATTTAAGCTTAATAATTCTCAGCTGTCTTAATAACTAAGCAAATGAGGGAGATGGAGGTTAGGTCATCCATAAATTAACTATGCATAAATATAATGCATCAATAAACAAACACAAGGTTTACATTTTCTTTCTCTCTGCCTCTTTTTATTGTTATATTAAAGACAATGATAACAGATGTAATTTACTAAATACTTTTAACACATACAAGAGAGTAAAACCACCATTTAAAAGCCGCATTATATTTACCAAAAAAAAGAAAAAAAAATCTACAGTGATCACTCATTCCAATACAAACTCCACCCATTTACACCTTCAGAAGAATCTTTATTCTCAAAAATACTAAGCATTTTCGGTAGAATTTCTCATGATAAAATGAAGTACTTATCCACAGGAAAGGTTTATGGGCTTTCTTTCCATTTGGCCCCTACCTGTCTTATACTTACATTTTAAAAAGAAATAGAGGTAAACTTCTATACAGACACATCATTAAGTGGCAATCTCACTGAGATCACAAATAAAATTTTAATTTATTCTGAAATTTCTGTTGTTAAAAGGGAGCTAGCAAAATACATACGGCTTTTAGAGCAGATAATAAATGCATTGCATTACATTCTCAATCTTTACTGTGCCAAAATCTAGGCAGAAGTGTATCTTAGTATCACATTGAAAATACAAAATAATTTGAGGATAGCTATGTTGAATTTCACATCAGGTCTTCTCTGCATGGAGGATGATTTAAAAAATAAACACAGTGGCACCTTAAGACTTAAACCAAGAGATTTACATTCCCTGAATATAGCCTTACACTTTTCTTTTGGTTGCTACATAAAGACTAACTGCAGCACAAACTGACTCATTTTCAAATGCTAGACCATCCAGCAGCCTGCTTTTCCTTTGTGAGCGCACAACTTCAGCTCTTTTATATTGTTTCTCTCCAACTTTGACCCATATTATGAGCACACTGAATATCCAAACACTGCTGACAAGAAAACACTGATACTTTCCCTGCATAGCACCACAGTAAATTTAAGCATAGTACACTGAAATAATTTAAAATCTATATTCATTCTGAAAACTGCTCTAATGGGCTAAAGATTAAAATACTTTCAAATTATTTCATGCCAATGCATGAAAACAGCTTCCCTTTCTATTCATACTTTATATATTAAAATAAGAATAGGTTGTTCAGACGATCCTGTTCAATTATGAAACTTTCCCAAAACTAAGACTGCTGTAAATCACAGATTCCAGCAGTTTAACAGCTGCTATAACATGAAAAGTTATCTCTAATTTGTAACGCTTTTTGAACAGTCTTCTCAGAGTTTAGTAGCTGCTTTACAATCTGCACCTTCTTGCAGGTGCGTACCAAAGCAGAATCCTGGGGAGGAAAACCATTTACTGGATAAAAACTCGAGATAAAAGAAAAACTAAAAAACACAAGCAAAGAGCAAATATTTCAAACGCTTTCAACAGCACTCTTGAAGTTTAACTCAGTATGAATCAATCAGAGACTCAGTTCTAGCTTTCCAAAGGCTCTGTTCCTAACAGCTATGGATTGACCCCTGCAGCTCCTGTTAAAAGGCCATTTCCAAACGCACTCTGTGCAAGCTCACAGAGCTCTCGCAGTTTTGGGGTTTTTTTAATCAAATATGGATACGTGTCTAATACTGAGTTGCTAACAACTTGCACCCATTAACATTAACACAAAGACCTAATTCTAGCACATGAAAATTTTATCAGCTGAAATCCATTTTAAATTTGTTTTCACTCTCTGGTGCAGAAAAGCCTCTATTTCAACCGCCTGTACTAACAACACGTGGCAAACAACTGGGCAATTCTTTTGATAGTATTTCACTTACCAAATCAAAGTTATTGAGACATACAGAACTGAGAATACACATTTCTTAATTTAAACGATGTTTTCTTGCTATTTCTTGTTTCGCTAACTTGCATTATGTCCAAGTGCTACGTAACAATGGGAATATGAAATTCGTTATTATCAAATATCAGAGGCCTCCTAGGAGGGGTTGATTCTTTGTCCGCTTTGTGCAACAGTTTAAAAAGTCCTGTTCCAATATTCATCGGAATTCCCATGATGATGCACTCAGAAACACCTAGGAAAAAACCAAACATGTTGAACACCTGAAGAGTAAGGATTTACAAAACTACTTTCATTCGCCCATTCTACATGCTTTGCCTATCAAATCTCCTTGAACCTCACACGTAAAGACCAAGCTCTCTTCACTAGATAAAGTTAAATGTTATGGTCATCAGATCAGTATGTTATTTAATCTGTGTTATTTAAATTCTAGACAGGAAAAATTCAACTTAACCTCAACAACTTCTCCAGCAATCAAAGAGCTTCAGGTTTGTTTTGGGGAAGGCATGTTCCACCCAGTGCCAACAGCAGAAAATGAAAGGCAAAGTTACTTCATGTTCGTTATCTGACACAGTACTGACTTCAGTCAAATCTGGCCCAGTTCCCTCGAAACCCCCTCAGTGAAAGAGGCATACTATTACTTTAGCTACGCGACTTTTTGCATTTTCACAATTCAAAAAGTGCTTGCTTTGAGTTTAAAGATTTAGTCTCTCTCAGCTTTTTTTGATACCTGTAACACTTGCACAGCAATGTACTGACACATTTATATTGCAAATCTAGCAATGTATACAACTGTTCCAAAAAACATTCCATATTAAAAACAAGCTATCAGATACCAGTGGCTTTTTTTAAACTCAAACTGTTATGATCCCAATTACTTTTGCACGTTCTCAGGAGTATTAGAATATTGTCCTTTACATAAATGTTTATGAAAACAACAATAAATAACTGTACCTTTCAATGTACAAAAGATGAATATCAATTTGCTTAAAATTCTGGCAAGATTTGATTGCTAATTTAAATGTATATGAATGAAGATTCTGTATTTTTGCTCTTAGGCCATCGCTGCATTTCTGCTATGTATTTGCTAACATTATGCACCTAAAAATCTTGTTCAAAATAGAATTCTTAGAGTTACTGCATATTTAGGCCCACTACTTTGTACAGCCCCTATAGCACGCAGATTACAACGGATAAAGGAAAAACCTTTCTAATACCTAGCAGAAGAAAACTTACCTGTTTTTGCACAATGACCTTTCAACCTGAGCCAACCACCAAACCATGGAAACTGCATTTAGATTTTGAGAATCCTTCTTCCCTTGCAATAATTCCATGTATACAACCAGAAGCCTTCCTCTCCACCTCCCTTTTGCCTCATGGACAAAGTATAGTTTGCAGCATCTGACAGCAGTCATGTACAGCAGGAAACGTTTGGACAGAACATGCTGCTGTAACAACCAAGTGTATGTTATATATCCGCTCAGACTAACGTACACTAGAGGCCAATGGCAATCCTATCAGACAGGTGAAGATAATGATGATGTTGATGTCAGAAGAACTGCCAGGATGGCACACTCACTCTAATGACCATCCAAGCCTCCTCCAGTGGAATGCCTGGTAACACTACCAGTTATAATTTATTGCAGATCTAAGCATCTGGCTGACAGCTATGAACTGCTGCTCTCACTTTCAGCTGGAAGAAGCTAGGTAGAGATGAAGCCAGTCATGCTGCTCTTGCTGCAGTTTATTTTTGACACTTCCCTTCCAGACCACCTCCTCATAAATTAACGGCACAGCAGTGATCTGTAGCTCCCAGTTCCCACTCTTAAGTTAGAAATCAGAGTGCTGTTGGCTACTCTTTGTGAAGAGGACAGAACGATAAACTGACTATATCTTTAAGCAGTGGCTTGCAGACAGTAGCACTTCCTGCTGGTCCTGCTTCCAGCATCCAGTGGATGCTGCTGGAACTGTATGTACTCTCCTCTGCTCTAGTTTCAACCTGCTTTGCCCACTGAAAGGTGGCATCTGCAATTCGCAGAAGAAAACGCTTGTCTTCCATGTAGGTAAAGCAAGAATCAGCTGTCCCCCATTTTCTTGGGGGAAATAAAAGCATCTTACAAGACTAAAGGGATTCAAAGGCCACATGGTCTAAAACTACACCCACACATTCAGGAGAAATGCTGATTTTAGATGACATTCAGTTCAGCACCTATAGTTGATTTTGGACACATACTAATTTTTCTTGGCAACATTTATAATTTTTTCCTACTCTGGAGTTGCAAAACCATGAGTGTGCAAGAGTCTTTTCATAGCAATTTGAAGAGATAAACTAGTGATGGCCCAGTCAGGCAGCTGCACAGCACTTTTTCATACAAGTAAGCCAGTATCATCTCTTCAGTTTTGAAAGACAGACAACAATTTTCTCTTTTCTCTATTCTATTTCCTTATTAGAACTAAAACATTTATATAGGAGGCAATAGAAGGCAACATGAAAAGATCTTTGGTTTCCACATTATTCAAAACAAGATTTTACCAGCTCAGAGGGGACTTGGAGAAAACATTTTCTTTTCCTTACTGTCCAGGATGGAATTAGTCTCTCATAGAATCTTTGCTTTAATCATGGGCAAACAATAATTTTAAAAAATAAGAAAATCTCACACATGTGGAATGCTGGATAGGCAGAAAGTGGCAGAGCTCTTAGAATACGAACTAAGTAATAAAAAGGTTTCTAACAGATTACAGCGATTCAGAAAATATACTGTCCACAAAACACTGTTTGAAATTGACTACACTTTCTGAGACCACCTAGAAATACATACAAACTAGTAAACCTTAACATAATATGTTCATATTTTTAGACTTCATTAGCATCCAGAAACTCCAAATGAGTGGTTACAGCCTTATATAAGCAGATGATGAAGAGGCTGAAACCTGCTGGACTTCTCCTTTTCTCTGCTTAACCTACTAAATAGAGACTACTTAACAAATCATTCCAAAATTTATGTATCTTAAAGGAGAAGGAAATCTGGGAGGAATAAGGGTGAACGAGTTTAACAAAAGAATTTCAATTCCAAGTATTAGCATACATGGCAGAAATGCAAAATTAAGAGACAAACAGAAGGATAAAATTTATCTATTTGACTTTTCTGTTTGGCTGTACATATGCATGCACTTGTGTGCATGTACACGTATTTTTAACTCTTATCAGATTTTTTCATGAATTCAGTGAGAATATGATTCAGAAGATGTTAATGTGCTCAACTTTAAAACTGAAGAATAGATACATTTGAAAAGAAATTTCTCAGGACAGAGACTGAATGGAGGACTGATAAACAAGGTTTCCAAATTAAAAAACAAAAAACCATATAATTTTTATCTATTTAGATCAGAACTAACTGAAGAAGACAAGAACTTGGCCTTTTTCTTTATTTCTAGGTACAGGACAAATCACATAAGCGATCATTATGCATATTATGATATTCATCTATGCTGAGATATATGTCTTCCCACTTCTTAATAGGAATGAAAATGAAATCTCAATACTGACTGAGGTACTAGATTCCTTAATGAGCTCTAGGTGTTGAAGATACACAAACTTCCACAACTGAAAAAACAGAACTACTGATAGTGAGACAAATTTCCTGGTATTTCACCGAGGTATGTGGTGAGAAGTAAAACCAAATTACTAAAAGTCTACTTTAAGAAACATCCAACAAATGTCCAACTGACTTCAACATCTCCAATTGAGATTAGAAGTAAACAAGCATGTACCAAACTTCTATGATCGAGAATTATGGATCAGCCTCAGATCCAACATGTTTTACATGTAGAGTTGAACAGTAAGTTTAACAAGGGCAAAAATCCAATGCTTTCAAGAGATTTACAGATACTGGGTAAGGACCACAAACTACAACAGAATTTGCAATACCTACCACAAACAGAATCCTTCTGTCCAAAATAGGCAGCATCAAAGAGATGGTCTGCAGTCTTTTCAAAAGAAGCCAGCATCAACACACTTTCCTTCATTTTTGCCAGTCCAAACCTAGTAATGCCCAGCACTTCACCCTTGATTGATGGAAGAACCCAAAGAAAAACTTTCACAATAATGTCTCGAAGTCAGTCATGTTTGCTAAAGAAGCTAATCAAGTGAACAACTCGAATGTAGTTTTTATTCTAACAAACACACGAAACAAGCAGTAAGTAAAAAGGTTACTATCTACAATATAGCACTATCACAATATGCTGCTTCACAGATAAACATCCTGAAGGTTAAATGTTTGGTAGTAATCAATATTTAAATAAAACAAAAGTGATTATTTATACACAACAGAAGCTGTTATAAATGGTTAATAGAACATTTTTTTAAAGCAAGAATATTGAAAAGATAGAAAGAAACATTGCCATGAGAAGAAACATAAAATTACAAACTAGTTGCTGAGCTACAAACTTTAGTGGGGTCTGAGAGTACTATGCTGAAGCTACTGCCTATTGTCTACTGATAAATCTGATTTCAGCTGCCAGAAGATAACAGAAGATGTTGAATCTTCATTTTTTCACTCTCCAGAAAAAAAAAGTAATTAGCTTTTTAAACTAACTTGGTTTATTTCTGCCTCGGTTTCTAACAAACATCCCAATTATAACAGACTGCACAAAAGCACAAGTCAGAAGTACAGACAAAAGAATGCATGCTAGGAGCCCAACAAGGGTTAAACAGTGCACTTTGATGCCCCTTTCCACTATTGTGTTGCAGCTCCACACGGCCAGCCCTGAGGACCGCTGCAGCTCAGTACAAAAGCCCTACAGTTTTGAGAGAGGTCAGAACTGCTTCATACATTTTACCCAAATTAAACCCTTGCACTCTGGCAGGCAAAGTGGAAAATCTTACTTCACAAAGTGTACTCAAATCTAAAAAACATACGAGATGTGAGGGAAAGTCAGTCAATCAATAAAGAACAGACACAATTTTCTACTAACAAGTTCTAGAAGATTGCTCATACTTCTACATGTAATCTGATTCTATTTGCAATGTCTGTATCCTTTGACTTTTATATACAGTGCAGCTGCTATGAACCACACCCCATGTGGTTTTCTCCACAGTAAGCCTTAAATTGTTACCCAAACAGTTGATTTTCATACCACAATTTTTAGGATTCTTATTTCCAGTATGAAATTACAATTCAGAAATTACGATTCTCTAATCATTGTATCAACTTGTTTTCAGTCAAAATAGACCTTCTCCTCCCCCCCACCATTGTAAGAACTAGGTTAATTAAGCATTTTGTTTAATATACAAACAACAGTATTTGGTCAGTACAATTTACAATTCTTTAAACCTATAACAGATTTCCATCTCCCTAGCTCACCCGTCCTTCTCAAACAAGGTAAAATTGATTTGTATAAACAGGCCACTTGAACATTTAGAAAAAGTATAGTACAAACCTTGTAAGTCATTAGATCAGACAGCAACATAACATGTCTCCTGTCAATGCTCATACCATGGTTCACCATTGTATACTGAATCTCATTGATAATGGTCGTCCGAGCAGCTTCAATTCCTAGTGTCTTCTCCACCTACACAAGAGATTATGTTCGATTAATGAAGAACCAAATGCTTGCAGCATGTATATTCCTGTAACAAATACCATCTGATGTCAGATAATACCTCATTTCCATTACTACTCTTTTGCATTTTTCCATTTTAAAAATATTTATAGAAAAAATTTCTTTGAAGTGAACAGTGCTGCCAGTCGAACTATTCTCTTGTGTTAACGCATTCTGACAACTACTAGTGAAATCAGGCTTGATTAGACATCAACTGCTCCATCTGAGCACAAACAAGCACTTGTAATAAAGATGCTATGGGGAAAAATCCACAGTACTCATTTGAACATTACCTCGTAAGTGTTGTTAGAGGATGTCTTTGTTCCTTTCACTCCATGAGTAGCCATAACAGCTCGCAGATTATCACCTTCAACTAGAAGTTTATATTTTTCCTTTCCACTTTGTTCATCAATATGAATGACAGCTCGGGAAACCTCTGGTATACCTTGCACTACAACCTTCACAAACAAAACAAAACTAGTAACGTTGATGCGTACAGTAATGCAGTATAGAAGCGTAACCCTTATCAGCATTCAAACCTATTTAGAAGCTCCAGTCTGTGGAGGAAATGATCAATTAAAACACACTAGTGCAGCAAATGCGACATTCACACTGTACTACAAAACTTACTACCTACATTTTATATTTTATGCCAGATATCCTCACACTCAGATCCGAGTCTCTGAATGGTGGTAGATCACACAAATGAAAGGGCATTGTGCGAATAACAAGGTTCACTTATCACTATTTTTAAAAGTAGACAGTTTCCTCACAGAAAGCTGCAAAAATGCCAGATACTGCCATGTGGTTCAACTCCAGATGCAGCTGTAAGATATAACTATTTCATAGAACTGCTGCACTCAGAATGATTCAGTAAATGTTGTAAGGCACATATCAAGGCTTTGATTTTATCTGTAAAGATTAATAATGGAGGCTTAGTTTCAGCTGTAAAGCAGTAATATCACAATGTAAGTGTTACAGACTCAGGCTATTTTCATTGTTAGTACTGACAAGAACTATTTCATCTTCCCACCATAGAACTCCAAATTATTATTACTGATTACCTCCCACAAAAGCATGAGACAGCCTTGTTTTTTACCTTTGGTAGTTCTTCCTTCAGGGACTGCAATACATAATACATTGAACTCTTGCTGTTTTCACGAGGGGTCACACATACAACTGCTTCTCCATGGACAGCAACATCCCCAGGCTTTACTCTGAGTTTAGATATGCAAATAGAGTAACGCACAGTCTCTGCATTCACCTGTGGCAAAAGTCAGCCAGCAAACATCAGGGTATCTCTTAACATACACAAATCTGCTTATGCAGCAGTTTTTCAACAGAATACAAAAAAAGCAGAATATATAAAAAGAAATAAAAATTGTTACTCTCATAAATTGCATGAAATACTATCCTATGCTGAGGGTACTGGCCTATATGTTAACTCATGGACAGATTACAACCTTGTACTTAACAAGACACCAAGAAATGAATTTATGTTCTCTCAGTTCCAAACAAAGGAAAAATTATCCACTTTACAAGGGGAAAAAAAAAGGGGAAAAAACAATCCAGGTGTAACATAGCCACAGAACATCCTTCGTTCACTTTCTAAGTTCCACTGGTCTGATTTCTGTCTCTGAGATAGGATTAAGAGACCCTTTGGAACTTACCCAAGGCACAGTCTGCGTAAGAACTGAACAACTCACCTCTAATCTCAGTAGTCTAATGCGCTCCAAAGACAGCTTCACTAGGATGAAACAATCATCTGGAAGAAACACTTCCTCAATATATTCTGAAATCTTTAAGAGGTAAGGACAAAATAGTTAGCATGTGAAAATGGTTAAAATGCCCCATTGCCATAACAATTGGCTAATATTTACATTTAAAGCATTAGCAATAATAACATTTTTCCTACCTCTCCTAACAAAGTCTTCTCAATTCTTCCTTTAACCAGACGGGCAAAATCGGGATCATCATCTTTGTCCAACTGTGCTGTTATAATAGGGGTGCTACAAAGAATAACCACATACACAGAAAAAACCACAAACAGTTAGGAAATTTCTCAGCTAGATTACAGATGGCAGTTTGAATTACAGCTTGCCTTATGGATCTCATATCTAGACAAGTATTTAATAAGATAAAGAGACCTTCAGCTTCCTCAAGTAACATTTAAGAAAATTATTGTTCATGTACTTCAGGCTGGTAAAAACAAGCAAACACACAAGAGATTATAATACAGCAATTAGTGACTATTTTCATGATGTACACTATTCTAGTACTATTTAAGCACGGCTTCATGGATACCTAGAAATAGATATGTGTGCTGGTTTTGGCTGGGATAGTTTTCTTCACAGCAGCTAGTATGGGGCTATG